TTAAAGGGGAAAGGTTGCCTACCCCTGCTCTAAGTCATTCCTCATAGGGCATGGTTTCCAGACCCTTCACCGTTTTGGTCTCCATCTTTTGGACATGCTCCAGTTTGTCAACATCCTTTTTGAATTGTGGTACCCAGAACTAAGTGCAGTATTCCAGGTGAGGCTTGACCAAAGCAGAATAGAGTGGCACTATTACCTCCCTTGACCTAGACAGACCAGTGATGGTGAACCTTTTAGGCAACAAGTGCCCAAATTAAATGGCCTTCAGGTACTGGGTGTTACTCCATGTCGGAGGCAGGACTTCTGGGGGAAATGGTACTACTAGGGTGGGACTTCTGCCCTATGGGGGCAGGAAGTCTGGGGTGGGACCTCTCCCCCACCTTCCCAGGCCTTCAGCTGCCTGTCCGGAGGAGGCAGCTGAAGGCCTGGGACAGCCAGGAGGAGGAGGAGGAGTGTGCCTTTTCTTCCTCTTCCCCACTCTGAGTGCCCAGGGAAATGGCTTCGCGTGCCATCTCTGGCACATGTGCCATAGGTTTGCCAACACGGACCTAGACACTATACTTCTGGTTGATATGATTTAGAAGCAGGAAAGGGGAAGGGTTGGCACTGAAGAATGTTAAATTGGCAAAAGGAGTAATGGGGCAGCATCTGCACCTGGCGCTCTGCAGCTGGGATCTCAGGCATGCACTTGTTCTGAGGCCACTGAAAAGAACAACACTGCCAGTTCCTTCTGGAGAGGCTTTTGGAGGAGGCAGTGTGGTGTAATGGTTTGATCATTGGACTATGGGTCTGGAGGGCAGGGTTTGAACCCCTGCTCAGCCATGGAAACCCAAGGGTTGCCATAAGTCAGAAAACTATTGAAGAAGGCATATAACAACTTCATAGTCCATAACTCACATCAGTACTACTACACTGGTTCTCCTCAAGGTTTGTTGTTGTGTTTCCAACTTACGGCAACCCTAAGGCCAGAGGTAGGCAGCCTTTCCCCTTTAAGGGCCGAGGGACTTCAGCTCCCAGAATCCCAGGAGCTATTGGCCAACATGGGACTATTGGCCAACATGGCTGAGGCTTCTGGGAGCTGAAGTCCCTCGGCCCTTAAAGGGGAAAGGTTGCCTATCCCTGCCTAAGGCGAACATATCATGAGGTTTTCTTGGTCAGATTTGCTCAGAGGAGGTTTGCCATTGCTATCCCCTGAGGCTGAGAGAGTGTGACTTGCCCAAGGTCACCCAGTGGGTTGCATGGCTGAGTGGGAAATTGAACCCAGGTCTCCAGAGTCATAGTCCAACACTCAAACTATTACGCCATATGCTTCCATAGATAATTGAATCGCAGCTTAGACTGAACCTCAAGAATGTGGGGGGAAAGGAAGTGAGGAAGTGATGATTGTTTCTGAGCATGGCAAGAGTGCAAGGCAAGAGAATTGTACATAGTGGAAGAGCTTCCACTCATGACCTTTTCATTGGGAGAACAGACACCGAATGACTATTTTTCTATCAATGGTCTGTCTAAACATGAGGTGAGCCGGTCTCTGGTGCAGTGGTTTGAATGTTGGACTGTGACTCTGGAGACCAGGGTTTGATTCCCAGCTCAGCCATGAAACCCACTGGGTGACCTTGGGCAAGTCACACTCTCTCAGCCTCCTTATGGGGAGGCAATGGCAAACCTTCTCTGAACAAATCTTGCCAAGAAAACGCCATAATAGATTTGCCGTAGGGTCCCCATCAGTCAGAAACTACTTGAAGGCACACAGCAAACATGGAGCAAACAAGAACAACAAACAAGACACACACAAACACACTCATGGTGTGCACACACAGGTAAACACACAACAGCAAACATGAGGCATGCACACAATATGGGGTACACACACAAAAACAAACAGGTAGACGCCCACATAACATGAGGCACACGCACATGGGGCACACACCCACACAACAACAAACGTGAGGCATCCACACACAGACACCGACAACATGAAGTGCACACAACATGAGGCACAGACACACATGGGGCATACACTCAAAAACATGAGGCACACACAACAGCAACAACATACATGAGGTACACTCTCACAATATGAGGCATATCCATACAACAACAAACCTGAGCTGCACACAACAGCAACAACATACATGAAGTACACCTTGACACTATATGGCACACCCATACAACATACAACAGCAAACACGAGGTGCACACACAAAGCAACAACAACATACACGGGGTATTGTTGTGTGCCTTCAAGTCGTTTCTGACTTAGGGCGACCCTGAGGCTGTCATGGGGCTTTCTTGGCAAGATATGTTCACAGGGAGTTTGCCATAGATATCCCCTGAGGCTGAGAAAGTGTGACTTCCCAAGGTCACCCAGTCACTTCACATGGTTGAGCAGGGATTCGAACCCGGCTCTTCAGAGTTGTCACCACTCTGGTACACACAACATGAAGTGCACACACCCACACACCAACAACCACCATGAAACACCCCCCTTCCTTTCCAGGTCCAAAACACACACACTGCATAAACAATCCGGTCTGAGACCGCTTTAACTCCTTTGGTTCAGTGCTAGGGAATCCTGGGAACTGTAGCTTATTGCGGCCTCAGGGCTCTCTGACAGAGAAGGCTCAATGTCTCACACAAGAGTACAGTCCCCAGGTTTCCCTAGCATTGAGCCAGGGCAGCTAAAGCGGTCTCAAACTGGGATTGTTTCTGCAGTGTGTGTTCTGGACTCCAGACTTGCCTTGGGAGGGAGGGAGAGGCTCCAATTCCCCTCACTGGCCCCCCTTGAGGAGGCCTCCTTTTGCCCCGCCCCCGTGGCCTCAGTCCCGCTCGCCATTGGCCGGCAGCGGGAGGGGGCGGGGCTGGAGCGTGCTTGTTTTCCCCCGTCGCTGGAGGCTTCGGCCAAAGTTCAGAGCTCAGCGACAGAGAGAGGGAGAGAGAGGCAAGCAAGCGAGAGAGAGAGTTGCTGCTGCTGCTGCTGCTGCTGCTGCTGCTTAGCGCTGGCGGCTGCTTCCTGGCTGGGATGAAGCTGGCGAGCGGCGCTGGACTGAGTCCTCTGAGGGGCTACGGAGGGAGGCCGCCCTTGGGCTGCTGCACCCGGCTGCAGGTACACAGACCCCTGGAAGGAGCGGGGGCAGGAGACAGAAGGGGAGGAGATGGGAGGATTTGCACCCAGCACCTGGCAGAGGAGGCTGATCTGCATGGGGGCAGGTGGTCTTTAGACTGTATGATTATTAATAATAATAATAATATCAGTATCATCATTAAAATACATCTATCTAACTAACTAACTATATATCTATCTATCTATCTATCTATCTATATATATATATATATATATATACACACACACATATTATATAATATATATTATACTATATTATATATATTATATATATATATATATATATAATGTGTATATGTTATAATGTAATCTATAATATATTATAATGTGTGTATGATATAATGTAAGCTATATATTATACAGATTATATCATATTATATATCTAATGTGTATATGTTATAATGTAAGCTATATATTATACAGATTATATATCATATTGTTATAATGTGCATATGATATAATGTAAACTATAGATTATATAGATTATATATTATATCATAATGTGTATATGATATAATGTAATCTATAGATTATATATTATATTATATTATATTATCTGTATGTGATATAATGTAAGCTATATATTATATAGGTTATGCATTATATTATTATATTATCATGTGTATATGATATAATATAATATATATATATATATATATATATATAATATTACTATACTATTATATATTATATATATTGTATTAAATATATAGATAGATATAGATATATAACTATATAGATATGTATAGATCTGTTTTAATGCACAATTTTTGTATGCTTTTAATTGTACTTTTTTTT